TTGTTGGCTATTAATTTGCAGGCCCCCAATATTTGACCTAAGTTGGAAGAAAAGTACTCCCAATCCCCAAAAGTCTCCTCCCTGGAGACTGCAATGAAGTGTTCCCTGATAAAAGCAGCATTCACTACCATGACTACAGAATTATCTACTCCTGTATGTATGTGTGCATATGGGCAGCTCTGCAGGTCATGACTCAATGTTCTTAGGAATTTCCTTGGAGAGTCAAAGCTTATTAAAGTAGAAACACTTCCCAGAAGATCAGATCTATCTTCAGACCAAGCTCATTCCCTTGCTTGTTGCATCATCAGGTCTGGCAGCTTAAAATAAATCATCTATTTCAAGTGAACCAATTACCAAATTCACCTTCCAACACTAGTTTTGGGAAATGGACTGCAAGGACTCCTTCAGAAGTAACTTACTATAGTATCTCCTGAGGACATCGTCTTGGAATGTTGGTAAACTTCTCTTGACATAAGGTTTAGGGAGAAGACAGTTGTCTAAATTAATGACAATACTTAATGAGAAGCAGTTATGAGCTTTGTTGTTTGGTGGACTGGATTCAACTAACAGCTCAGCTACTTTTAAAGTTTGTAACCTTGAGCAATCCCTTAGTTTCTTTGAGGCTGCCTCAGTTTCCCTATTTTGCAAAGTGGAGGAATAACACTTAAAAGATTTGGGGAGAGTACAAAGTGAATAAATATACATTCAATTGTTTAATTTTCCTCCTGATTTCTTTGAAGTGCTTTCAAAATCATTTACGACACATGATTAATCAGTGCTCATAGGCAGCAATGACACAGCTCTTTTTATGTAATAACATATACTCTACTCCATTTACTTAATTTTCTTCACCCATTCCCCTGCTGCCTTTAAAAATGGAAGAAAAAAATCACAGTCACTTTATGCAGACAGAAATCACATCCATTTTTCCTATGAAACCAAAATCTAATTTTGAAAGGGCAAAATATGTTTAATTTTGCTCATTTTCTAAATAATAGTAATAATAATAAACAACTTTTCTGTATAATTTCATGAAGGTTCTCCCCTCTTGTTTGGGTCTGCCCAGAAGCTGATAGAGAGTCTGGATTGCATTCTCTGTCCTTTTGTTGCATATATAAATCTCTTTATAGCTGGTTCTACCTGCCATGACCTGAGCCACCCTGAGTCTGGACTGACCCGCGTTAGGCAATAAACAGGCCAAGATCTTTCTGGTCAGGTCTTGACAGCTTGAAAGTAGGAAGATGCCAACATTGTTGCCAAATGGATGGCTCATATTTTTCATCTTTGTCTTTGTGGATGGTAGTCATGTGCTCCCAGTGGTATCCCATTGTGTAACAGATGCCAGAGGCTCTGAGCCAGAGCAAGGGCCTCGGATGAGGTTAGGCCTTCTGGTTGGGCATGGACCTTAATTGGGCCAGCAGATATGTGTTCGGCCTGAATAATCAGCTATGCTAGATTAGTCTAAGGCTTGTTTGGGTAGATAAAATCAGAAACAAAGGCTGAGAGTAACTGTAGGGGTAGGAAGGCAGTCAGGGGTAGGAAGGCTAGAAGGGGGAACGTAGGCTGTTGCAGATTATAGAGGTAAGTTGAGGTCACCAGAATGAGGGGTATTGTGGATAGGGTCATAGCTTGGACATAGTTGAAGACAAAAAACAAGAACATTCCACATGCTCCCCAAATGTCATGTAGTATATTGATGGAGGCTCTTAGCTACCCAAGTGTGACTTAGACTCTCTTTTGGTAACTTCACATGGAATAGCTTTCTCTAAGGGCCAATTCTTGTTGCGCAAGGACAGTGAAAGACGAATTCTCATTGCTTTGGAATAAATGAATATTCTTTGGGACAGGATCACTGAAACTGTCTAGATAAGCAATACTATCTCCTGAACTGAAGTCTAAGAAAGGTTAGGATTTTCTATCCATTCATAGGGCCTGAAAAAGATTCATGCCATGGGGCATCTAACCAGAGTTTTGATATGAGAAAATTAGCCCTTTAGAAAAAATGTTTTTTAACTTGTCTGTGTATACGTGAAAGAGAGAACTGTGGTGACCTTTAAGTTGTAGATCACTGGACTAGATCTGCTATCAAGGAAATGCATAGACAAGGAAATGCACTGATCACGTACTCTGTCTATAACCATTTGTTTCCATGATACCCCAGAAAGAATAAAGTTTTTGCTAACAAGCATCAGTATCACACATTATAAATAGTTGTAAAAATTCTTTAACCTCCTTCATTGATCAGACTTGGAGTTTTCTTGACCTGTTATTGGTTCTTCAACCTGGTTTGTGGGATATAGAACCCTCCGGCGTGGCATAAAATGGCTTAGGGATAGGACAGGAGGTGAATGATGAGGAGCCACTCCCATGACATCTCTGAGCTTCTATTGCTGGGGCACATGCTGCTCAGGACTTCTTTTCCCATCCAGATATCTTTACAGAACTCCTGCAATTTTCCTTAGTCTTCCAAGCATCACTGAAAAGGAAATGATCTCCACTGAGGCAGCAAGTGAGGTCCTTCCTTGTTGTAGACATGAGGTCAGGAAGCTTCTATTGTCTCTTTGATAGTGATGTCCACACATAGAGTTAAAAAAGAATTGGGCAATTTCAGGAATCAGATGTCCTGGAAGAGAGCCACATATTTCCTGAAACCGAGGCCACCATCATTTACTGACCCGGAACTCTGTTGTCTAGCCAGGTATCCTTCCAGAGAGAGAGGCAGCCTTCCCGAACAACCACACCCTAGTTCCTACAACTATAAGGACACCTGGATTTTCTCTTCATTAGCGTTAATGACATACTAGGACACATATACACTGAGTACATAAGTTAAAAGTGTGCATGTGATCTTCTTGTCATTGGCAAATGAGGGTCATTCCCAGATATGGGGGGAAAAATGACCTACAGTATATCTGAAAAGAAAACAACTAAGACAAAAACAAACAAAAATCTTTGGCTTCTTCAAACTTTGCATATAAATAAGAGGTCTTGCTGTTCTTAGCAGAAATGTCTTTGTGCACATCAAAGCTATGCACAGGTGCTTAAAGCTTAGGCTGGATACAGGAATACCTTCCGAACCCCAGGTAACATGCAATGTGGTGAAGAGGGATTTTCACTTATCTCTGACCCAAGTGGAAATGATCATCAGTCTGGATCATCTCCATCTACAAAGTTCTTCCTAGATTGAATTATCCAGGTGACTGCTTTATCCCTCTACCACAAGTTCTATGTGTAAAAAATATGTTAAATTAACAGTAGACACTAAACCATTTTTTTAAATTGAATTTAAGGTCTTATTGCATTTTACACATCTATAGTTTGACATTCATTTCCTACCAAATTTCCTGGAATCTTTTATTTCTTGTAACATTATTTTTAAAAAAATTCTCTGAGTGTTGATTTGTGTGGCTAAGCTCCTCCCGGGAATAGGCTGATTTCCAGCAACAACTCACTCCACCCCCAGTAGGAGTTTGAATAATGACTGAGTGACAAAGTGTCCTATTCAGTTATTATTCAACTATATTAAATTGCTAAAGTTGGTAATTGGAGCATATCTTATTACAAAGGCAAAAGTTCAACATTTTTCCCCAGGCACAATAGGCTTGCACATTTAAAAACTTCTGGTCTGGTAAGAAATAAGATGTCAGGGCATGGAGCATGCAACAAATTAAACAGGGAAAGATATATTAACCAAACCTGGGCAAAATTATCAAGCATTACCTTGAATATATTTACCAATCTCAAGCCTTATGTAAGGGGAGAGGATGTGGGAGAGAAAGTAGAGGAGAATCTGATTTTTAAATACTTTCAAAATCTCACCAGGTTATATTAAAACCCATTTGGATCCATAGCTATGCGTTATTTGCTGAAAGTTTCATTGGGAGTATGGCTAAGGGGTTCAATTTACTCTAGAATGGTACTCCAGAGCGGGAGCAGTTTTACTAAGACAGTAGGAACCTTGGTACCTGCTTGGATGTGGTCACCACATGTTACTGCTTCAAAGAACAGGAAATGTGTGTTGTGGGAACTACAGAAACCACAGACTATGGTAGTATTCCCCAAAGTTGCCTCCTCAGAAAACTCATTTGGGGCACATGTTTAAGAATCTAGATTTCCAGATTTCTCACTGCAGATTGTGATGACTAGGCCTGGAGTAGGAATCAATATTTTTAATAAACATCCCATTAAATCTTATAGTAAAGGGAATGTGAGAAACACTATTCAAGCCCTGATAGACATTCATGGTACAATCATTTATTCATTCTTTTATTCTTAAAGTGTGATCCTAGATACCCTACATTGAAATCACCTGGAATATTTGATTACAATCCAGATTTTGGGACCTGTCCTAAACTAGTCTATTAGAATTACCAGAGGTAGAACCCAGACATCTGCATTTTTGAATGAACATTCTAAGTGATTTGCTATGTAATAAAGTTTGAGACTATTTGCTGTGAGTCAGGCACATAGCCTGTCCCTTCAAGTTGTCTATTCCCAGCCAATAGGTAACAAGCACTTATTTAAAGACTTACTAGGCAGGGATCAGTGAATGACACATGAAGGAGTGATGTGAAGGGCGAGTGGAGAGAGACAGCTCTAACTACTTTCAACTGGAAATCTCCAGGGCTTGTAGGAGCAAGAAGGGAAGCAGCGCTACAGATGGAAAGGCCACGTTTTGGGAGGCACATAGGAAAACTGAGAGGAGCCCAGGCCCCTTCAGCCTCTGGAGCCTGTGAATGGAGCCAACCACATGTATGGTTGGAGAAGGCTGTACAAAGGTTCTGTGGTCCTAGGGTCAAGTGGTAGGGCTACTAGCAAGAACTTGAATTTGGAAATTCCTGCCAGAGCTCCAGCCCTACAGGACATAAATATACTTTACTTTTCTCCTTTCTTCTCCTATTTCCTTAATTTTGTTTATGAAACAGTAATAGAACTTGCTCAGGCATTGTTTTATTTTGACACTGCAACAAGATCTAATTTGAATTCACTTTCTCTGTCAGAAACCTATGGAGTATTCGTTGTTCCTGTGGACTTCTACTGATGTACAATTGTGTTGAAAATAAGTTGTCCAAATGATGTGGTGGAAGTTCAGACAAAGGCTGTTTTGGTTCTGAATGGTAAGAGTACTGATGATGATGATGATGATAATAGTAATAATAATAATAAGGTTCTCAAGATTCTGGTGGTTTCTAAATTCTAATACAGAATTTTAAAGTCGAAGATATGAATGAAACTTATTTTCCTCTTCTGTAAAATGGGAATAAGGAGACCTGCCCTAGGTATGTCACTGGATTGCGGTAGAGTTGAATATTTTCAGCATTGAAACTTGGCAGATTCTAAAGCTTAGTATAAATGTTGGTTGTCGGGATTAGTCTTTTTTTCCTCCACACTTAGTCCCCCTCTAGCTTCGGATGTCATTGGAACATTTTTAGGAATTAGGGGCAGCACTGAAAGAACATGAGAATTTGGGTAAAAAGTGCTTACCATTGCAATTAGCATTATCACAGAGACAATTATTTGGACAAAGACATGATATTTGCTAGGATCTGGGAAGGAGGAAGTATGATCCAAAGAGCAAAGGTGCTAGTGACAAATGAAAGGCCCTTGGAAACTGTGGTGCATTGTTCTGTGCCTCTGGAAGGCAAAACACTGCCGGGATGAAGACGGAGTCATTCCAAGTGGGTGATGAAATTTACTTTATTGACATTATCAATAAGGATGTATTTATGGGAAACAAACATGAAGTATAGCTCATGCTTAAGGGACTTGGCAGGTAAGCAAAGGAAAAAGGGTGTCTGATCATGAGGTCTAAACCTTTGGGCTTATTGGCTTTGTGGTAGTGTGGTGGTGTTTTTGATAATTATCTTCCCCTGTGGATCCTCCACTTCTGCATAAAATGGACATAAAACTATTATCCATAGTTTGAGCACAAAAGATCAAATTTTTCACTGAAAGTAAAAGTTCACACATAGTTTATCATTATGAGGTAATGCACTTTACCTCTTTTGTGTCTGTTAAAATCCAGAGAACTCTCAATAGAGTTAGAAAATCATCCAGTGGCACATAGGCCTCTGCTGAATATTTTAGTTTGTGTCATATGAATATCTTTCACATATATGCCTACCCTGTGCTTAGATCATCCAAAGGAAAAAAAAATACCCATTTAAGGACTGCAGGTTAAAAGGGAGTTTTATCATTCCAAATCACCTCCTCTTTGCATTTTCTGGATTCTCATAAGAAAAATGAGGACTTTGGTACATTAAATGCAAGTTCATATAATTATGACCATGCCCTGCATTCATGCATATTATTGATGAATCATTTGATGATTCATCAAGTTGATGAATCATTTCTGGTTCCTGTAGAATTTTTCTAACTGGAAAAAAAGTTAATATATTGACTGTTAAAGTTGTGTGGCTGACAAATCAGGAGAACAAAGAAGTTTTCTTTTAGGATTAGGTCAGAGTCACAGCAAGTTGGAAGCAGAATATCTAAGCCATCTGTTCATAGATGAGAAAGCAGTTGCATACAGGTAAGTTGTAATAGTAATAATGGGAGACGCTTATTGGGTGTGTTTTATGATCTAGTTGTGTACTAAATTATTAACATGTTATATTTCATTTAATCCTCACAATAATCCTCAGAAATAGATGCAATTATTAATGCCTTATTCCAGACAAGGAAACTCAGGTTTGGAGAAATTAAGCCCTTTGCTTGAGGTACACAGTTTGTTGAGTCTCCTGAGAGGCCTCGATGTCTTAGTTCAGGCTTCTGTAACAGAATACCATAGATTGGTGGTTTAGACAAGAGAAATTTATGGCTTAGAATTCTGGAGGCTGGGAAGTCTAAGATTAAGATGTCAACCAGTTATCAGGACACTAATGAGGACCATCGTGAGGGGTCCACTCTCATGACCTCATCTAACTTCAACTGCCCCCTACAGGTCTTAACATTTATTGAGCACATGTTATGTGCCAAATCCTGTACTTGGCAAAGGTAAACCAAAGAGCTATGGCCCCATCTTTGTGGTGATAACTGAGAGGGCAGTACAGGAGATAGACTAAATCAACTGTTACACAAGCACATAATTACAAACTGGGAAAAGTGGTTTTGCAGTGAATGTAGAGGAGTTATGAGAGCAGGGAACTTTGTCTAGTCCAAGATTCAGGCTTCCGAAGGATGTAACCTTCTGTGGCTTCTCAGAGGATGTAACCAGTGAGCTGAGATGTGAAGGATTAGCAAGAGTTCACTAGAACAGATGGAAGAATATAAGTGTCTCAGACTTGGGAAATGTAAATGCTGAGTCTCGGCTGGAGTCCAAAGAACTGGGTAGGCATAGGTGGTTCGAGAGATGAAAATGAGGCAGGGACCACATCATCCAGAACTTTCAGGTATTTGGTCTTTATCATAAGAACAGTGACTTCCAGAAAATCCTTTAAGAGGTCACCAATGATCTGCTAGTTACCTAGTTTTACCACTCTTCCCTGTGTTCCTTCTCAAAAGTCTGGAGCAATAGGGAGCAATGGACTTGGTCCCTTGGTCCATTGGCTCTCAGATCCCCCAAGCACCTCCAGGATCATTCTCTGCCTTATTTCTGTTTTACTTCCTTGATGTAAGAAGATTATAGTAAGCTCTTAAAAAAAATGTGTGTGTTGGGTGGGTGAGTGTATATTCTTGCTAACTTTCCCAAATGTCAAATCCCCTGCGGTGCATTACTTCCCTTGGTGAGACCACTTAAATTCCTAGAACGCCAACTTTTTTAAAAAAGACAATATACTTTTCAAATGTTTTGTTTTATCCATTGTTCATCAGTACAGCTTTATTAATAGTCCCAAAACTTATATGCTGTTAAGATCTCACTTGAGTTGGGAAGGCATTCCTCTATACCACCATCTCCACTGACAAACTTCATCCTTCAACCATAGTCTGACAGCTAAAGTTCTTTCTTTAGATGAAAGCATTATCTAGTGTTTTAAAATAAATAAAAACCTGAAAACATGCAACACTTAAATTATGAATCATTTATACCATAATGGAAGTGAATTCTAGACCTTTTCCATTGGGTACATTTTGATAGAGATAAATGGAGGAAAAGTACAGAAAGTTATTGAACTCCTAGTTGAGGTGGGGAGGAGAGTTGAGAGTGGGGAGAGGAGGGGAGTTCAGAGGAAGATTTCTGTTCTGAGAAGCTGACAGTTTTAACAATGTCATTCTTCTTTCTTTTCTCTTCCTGAAGGCTATTTATTTATTCTTAGGTAATTACCCATTACAGTGAGTAAATTTCTGGTTGAAAATTTTAGTGTGGTTTCCTTTAGGCTGTAATTATTTGAAAAAGTCTTGATTAAAAATAGTAACTTGAAATACAAACATTTAACCATGGCTATAAACCAACCATCCAAATAGACTTCCATTTTTCTCCACTTCTAAGTTATTTTCTGTTCAGATACAGAACAACATTTTAAAGGAGTAACACGCTTTAAGGCATCATTTGGCTTAATGGGAGAAGCTACTTTGGAAAAGACATTAGCTAAATTCGACAGCATCATAATTCAAGGTGATTGACATATGAGAGTGGGCATTCAGGTTCTCTTCATATAGAGTAGGGGGAATTTGGCTTCAGTTGAACATTTACTTATCAGCATTTGTGCTACTGGTTTCCAGGCAATGTCTCAATTACTGCTTGCTTGCATATGGTACAGAGAATCAAGACAAATTCCATCTTTGAGAAGGAAAACAGCCCTTACCTGATCTATTAGATTTGCTAGCATTAGGCTGACTGATGCGAGGGCTCAAATGGAGCCGTGACAAAATAGTAGATGTGTGCAAACTCAGGAAGGCTGGGATTCTGGGGTATGTTGGGCTTATTGCTTAGCTGGAAGGAAATATTCCACAGTGGTTAGAGGGAAGTGGTCTTCTGTTCCAAACCTATGTCTTCGGCAACTTTGAAGTGGTTTGTAAAGTTATATTTCAGGCTGTACTGTCTCATAGCAGGTGTTAACACAGGGGTAACTGCTTTGTTAAGTTTCCTTCAAAGCTTGTTAAAGGACTCAGCACCAATGGAGGTGTCTGATGTTTGGGGATTGCTGGCACTGTTATGGATACAAAGTGATTCATGCTCCCATCCCCACCCAGGAACAGTCACTTCTGGACAGAAAGAGGTAAAATGAATCACTATGTCAAAGACAGCCTAGGAAGGGAGAGAAACTTGGGACAGAGCTCTAACTGGCCATAAGGGGGGATTGGGGGACAGTTGGAACACAAACAAATTGTGGGTGGAAAGTGTCACTTGAGCTCCTCTTGGCAGGTGTCTGGGATGTCCTGTGGAAAGTGGTAAGAAACAAGGGAACATGCAGGCAGAGTAATGGAAACATGCAATGCTGATGCTGGCTTTTTGCTTCAAGGGGAAATGTTAGCTAAAAGGTGGGGGTGGAGGGATATGCTTCCTTTATATACAAAGCTGGCCAGTTGTCCTGTCTTTTCAAATGGAGAAGAGCATTAGCTGGCATGTATGGTTTAGAAGTGACATGGAGAAGGAATTGAAAGTAGTTTCATCAGACAATCACACATGGAAGGAAAAGTGGCTTGGTGTGTTTGATCAGATTGTAATGATACCATTTTACAATCATTTTGCACTTTTCCCCACTTATCAACCTCCGTTTTCTTAACCAAAACCTTATGATTCAACTTGACCAGCATTTGAATAGTCCAGAGGTGAATGGAAGGGGAATAGGGCTCACCCTCCACCACTGCCTCTTTTCCTCTACAATTTTTACAAAGTGAATACTTCCTGGAGGGGAATCAAACTCCTGTCAATCATCAATAACTTTTCTAAATTTGTTAAACACAGTACATTTTTCCCCAGCATTTGGCTGCTGCAGGCAGCATCGGCAGTGAGATAAAGTAGAGCGGTAGGATGGGGAACCTATTCAGCTACCAGGTGACAGTCACAGCAATGAGACAACTGTGTCCCACTTGCTCTCTGGGCACCATGTTAACTAGCCTTAGGTCCCTTATGACCTCCAGTAGTATTGCTACCTGTAATGCTTCATGCTCTCCAGGAAGAGGAAGAAGAGATAGAGGTTGAGAAAGAGGTAGAAATCTGCTTTAATAGGAGGGAGACTTATCAACGTAGAATGAAGCACCTCAGTGATGAGGAAAGAGGGGAGAGTCTGTGCTTCCCTGCAAGATCCCTAATGTTCCTGCTCAATGTGTCCCAGACTCTAAAGCTCCCTCCTCCTTCTCCAACTTCCCTGAAAGGGCCCACATGGCAGAGAAATTGGGAGAAATTTACTCTGTCTTCATGATTTAAGGAATCTCAATTAGAGACACAATTAGAAAAATGGTTAAGTCACCCATAAAGTAGATTAAACAAGTTTGGGGACATATAATTCTGCACTGTATATTGTGTTTGTATAAAAGCATAATGTATATGTGTATGCAAAATATAATTTCATGGCATTTTAATTTTTTTAAGTATGTAAAGGAGAACTTGTATAATTGAATTGACATAAATCAAACACCTATACGGTGCCTCTCTACATAGGCCCCCATCCAAACACGTGCTGATTAGCAGCAGAAACAACTTTCAGAATTAGGTGACTTTAGAGCCAGAAAGGAACTTCTATAATAAAGGATTTCTTTTACGTTTCAGGTTCCAAGAGGCTGTCTTTGCCAACTTCCCTGTCTACCTTTGCTTCCAACATGCTCTGTCACTGCGAGTGTCTGCCCACAGCCAGGAGGAAAGGAGAAGGAACTGCCCCTTCCTTCTGCCTTCTGTGGCCCTTCTGCCCCAGGAAATGAACACAGGGAGCAAGAGGTGGTCAAGGTGATCCAGTCTGGCCTTTATTTACATCTTGCAGGGAGGCGGCTCCTTTCAGAGACCTGCTGCCGCTCTGGCCCCACCTTGGTGTGATCATCTCACAGGTAACAGGTTTCCAATCAGCTGCCCCTTCTCTCCACAGTTCCTGGATTCTCCAGACTGAGGAAGTCTGAAAGAGCCTGAGGGGTAACTACACACACACCTGGCACATTTGCTCCACTCCTTTGAAAAAAGGCCAGAGTATGTGATAAGGTGAGCTGTTTGGAATATTGAATGTAAAGATGGGGCAAGTTGGGGAGAGGGTACACATAATTTCTGGTGGACAGGACTAGGACAGTGCTAACTCTAATCAAGGTGATGAAGGGGGTGAGCAAAACAGACCTTTGACATGTGCCCTGTCTGATCCCAATAGCTCCTTCCCAACCCACTATCCACGATGCCTCCCTACCTGCTTTGATTCTCTCACTAGCTGCCAGGATTTGTAAGCAACCCCTATCAAGATGGCAAATGACAAAGGGAGTACGTTGTTCCCTCTCAAGCACTTAGCACTTCACCGGAGGTAGTCTCACAGTTTCTGATGCTTCCAGAGACAAAGGAAAGTCATATAAGGATAAAGTGTCAGGCACAGGAAATTTCTGGGCCACATGGCTTCATGTTGCTTTTCAAATCACAGCCCAGGTCAAGTCTGTCTCTTCTGTAAAGAGGAGGGAGGCCAAGTGGGAAATTAGAGGAAGCACCTCACTTTCTGGTCTCAAGAACCTCTTTTGTCAGAAATTGGAAGTGTAAGTCACCCTTTTGAAAAATAAGAGGGTTCCTTATCTGCCCTCATTTTCCAAATCTTTGTTTTTTATACTTGAGATTCTTTAGTTTCTTAGAACCATTAGGAAACAGGTCCCCAAAATATGGCCCAGGCCATTTAAACATATAAATCTATTTCTATGATTTTCCTCAGTGACTCATGCCATCACAGGTTGTCCTTCCTCCTCCACTCTACCCCTCCCTGGCCCCGAACATTCGAACATTCACCCAAGGCTGTTGAGAGCCGTTTCTAGTTAGTGCTGTTCAAAAACAAAAGTATCCTGGCTAGATGTGGTGACCAGCCAAGACACCAGGGTTGCTGGCTTTCACTGGACAAGGGAACTTTCAGTGTCGGTTTTCTCCATGTTATTTAACTGGGAAGATGACCTACATTCCACAGTACAAAGGCCTGAAATGATGTTACATGAGGAACAGTCTTCAAAACTACTTACATCAGAATGACCTGGGGAACCTGTTAGCAGGCCAATTCCTGGAATGGGAACATGACTGTAAGGGCACTGATGCTTGATTACTTCTGGATTATAGGTTATTGTTTCTCCTGAGAGTAGGCAGCTCCATTTGAGAGCCAGGTGATACTGTTGCCTCCTAGAGATTTTCATATAAATCCCTGCTGGGCAGGAAGACCCATCATACTCAGGGTGTTGAGGGATCAGAGCAATGGTAAATCTATGTTCATCAAGACAGTACCTAGCCCCGTCCTACCTGGGGACCCCCCACTCAGACCTAAAACTTGGCAGGCACACTTAAACCTCCTCCTGCCTATAGGTAGCCCCTGAAGTAGCATGGTCCTAGAAGAATTGGGTCAAGCACTCCAAATTCCCCCACACGCCACCATTCTCTGTTCACCCTAGATGCACACTTGACTGAGACACCCAGGAGAACACAACCACCAAAAAAAGCATCCCTCACTACCCAAGACTTAAATCATCATTATCATCATCACTTAGGGCTAAATAAATCATTCTGGAAAGGGAGCATAGCCTGTGTCCAAAGTCTGATACAAACAGCTATGTAGTGTTATGCAAACTACCTCTCTGTGACTCCATTTTCTCATCTGCGAAACAGGGATCATGAATGAATCTGTCTCTTTGAATTGTTTTAAGAATAAATGAGACAGTGTGCACCTTTCTTAACACCCAGGTTGGCATACAGTGAGTGCTCACTAAACAGGATCACAGCTAGTAAGTAGGATAGCTTTGTGTTAAAGCTCCTTTTTTCATTAGGCACTAGAAAACATTCCCCCGCTCTGTGCCTGCTCAGGCTGGTGGCCGGGCTCTTGTAGAGCAAGCAGCATACCCCCTGGCCTAGCCACCTGTGGGGCCGTAAAACTGAGACAGGAGGCATTAATAAATATTAGCTATAGTAATTACACACGAGGGTGACAATAAAGTTCCCCACCTCGAATAGGGATTTTCCCTGCCTGGCTGTCCCATGCAGATGACTGGGGTGTTGGGGGGGACACGCTGTGGGGGAGGGTGGTTGAACAGCACTTCTCAGAAGCTCATTGCTGTGCTCAGCAGACATTCATCTAGATAAACTTTAGGGAGAACAAAGGCAAGAGGACGCGCTGAAGTTTCCTTTTCTGAGCTCAGCACCAGCTGAACACGCTTCCTGTTTAACTGAGCTTCTCTGACAGACGCGACTGTTTTTTCAGATTTGGTCATCGACCTCTGGCTTTCCCATGTGAGTCAGCGCGGCTGCCCTGATGCCCCGCCGGGCCCCGGAGTCCGCGCTCCGCAGTTTCCCGGCCGCCCCAGGTAATCCCCCTCGGAGCCGGCGAGGTCCCCGCCCACGCCGCTCGCTCGGGGCTGCGCCGCGCCGGGGCCGTGAGTCACGCACCGGCCTCCCGGCTGAGCTATTATTGGAACGCACGCCGCGCACGGCCCGCTCGCCTGCTGCATCGCACGGCCCGGCGCTCCCGGCCCTGCAGAGCACGCTCCTCGGCGGGAGGTTCCGCTTGGATGAGCGCAAGGTGGTTTGCGCTGAAATCGCCGAGTTTCTAAGAAAGGTCTCTGTGAGGCCCGGCTTCCCGAACTTCTTGCCCCCAGCATCAGTCTCGCGTCTCCGCCGGCGAGTGCCTGGCAATAGGCTTGCCTTTGTAGGTGCTTCGCAGGAAATCCTTGTGGAGTTCTGGATTAAGTTTCAAGGAGGACGTTGTAAAGGGGAAGGCAGGAGGGAGCGTTGTTAACGAGATGGGGCGGGAGAAATCTCTGTGGGCACACACACCTGGGGAGTGAAGAGGGCGGCGGGAGGGCCTGGGAAGATTCAGAAAGGTAAGAGAAAGGGCCTTGGGAAGGAACCAGGGAGGGAAAAAGCTTGGGCTGCGATGCAGACTGGAGAATGTGTTGGGCTTATTTACATGAACCTGAAGTATTGAACTAAATTTCAATTTTGAAGATCTTTCTCCGTGCTTGGGTGGTGATTCATAGCCTGTATTGATAGCCTGTATCTCAGAGTACTTGCTACTTCCAGGCAGCACCTACCATGCACCCTACAAGAGTGTTCGATTCCTGTCTCCTTTTACAGATGGGAAAACCAAGGCACAGGAGGTGAAGTGTGCACGTTCAAGCAGTCTGCTTTTATGTGCTAACCTCCGTGGCTCCGGGTAGGAATGGATTTTTTTCTTTTCAGGTTGATATTTGAAGACAGAGAAGATAAATTCAGTTCATTGATCCTCCTGTGAAATCCCCATGTAGGTCCCGTCACTTTATGCTAGGTCTTGGTTTATGCCCAACTGGCTGGGATTTCAGGAAAGTTCTGACAGTGGTTGCAGGCAGATAATCTTGTGGAAGTCTAGGTCCTGATTTCTAGAGTTCTAGTTCCATGTTGATCTGGCACTGGCTGATTGCTCAGAGTACAGTTAACTTCCTCATTTTCCCTCTTTGACAAGGACATTAGAACATGACCATAACACACTAATCTTTGCTAGAGCATTTTCAGATCTTAAGATGAAACAGAAAAGGAATAAAGCAGTTCCTGGGAGGAGAATCCTGGAAGGGCTGCAGGTGGCTGTGTCAGCTGTGTCTTAGCAGTTGGCGTGCAGAAAAAGATGAGGAGGGAGAGATGAGAAATCCCTCTTTAAGTTGCAAACACACATAGCATCACAGGATGCCTGAGAGTTCCTTCTCCCAAGTGACAAGGGAAAGGGACCCTGTGACGCACTTCACCTGGAAGATGGTACATTAACAGGGCACTTCCATAAATAAAGTCTGTTCTATCTTACTCTATTTCTATATACAATTGTTATCCTGAGTCTCTTTCTTCTAAGGTAGCCACCTCCGCTGCTTGAATGCTGCTATTTGAATTAACATGGAGGAGAAAGCTAAAGTTTGCCCTTTATAGATTGGGCCAGTATGGAGCTTGGGATTGTTAGGGGAAAAGTAGGGATTTGGGGTGTCTTATTTTTCTTGAGCTGAACACAAGCTGAGGGAGACTGGGAATCTCAAAGGATGGCTAACCGTAAACTGGGTTACTGCTTTCCATAGGAATTGTCCAAAGATACACATCTGAGCATTTCTCCCCCACTGTCCAGCCCACTCCAGGAAGACCCTGGTCCAAAGAATGAAAGGTGAACTTAGGATAACCGCATTGGACACTTAGTGAACGCCTAATAAGGGCTTTACTTGAGTCTTCCTATTATAATTCTCTCGGGCTCCTTTGAGAGAGGTCCTGTTACTATCCCCACTTTTTTTCACATAAGGAAACTGAAAAACCTTTGAAAATCCATCTGATGTAAAAGGTGTCACTTGAACACATCTATAAACGAATAGATATTGCCAATGATTACAGTAAATGACTTTTATAAAAATGAAGCAATTCAGATGATAAAATCCAAACAAACAGTTCTATTGGAGTGAGGACTAAAAGGAATGGGAAGTTAGTTTCTGTGTGCGTGTGCGTGTGTGATGAAGACAGGCAGTAACTAAAGGGAGGTCTCTAAAGCACTTTGGTTGAAACCTTTTGTGCTTTCATAGATTGCATTAGAACTACTTAACTGGAGGTAAATGCATTTTAAACCACTAGTAGTGCAAAGAAGAACCCAATCAACATGCTGTTTTTGCCAAAGTATTATCACCAGATTGCTGTGCCAAAAATTAACCATTTTGCCACAAGTAGGTAGGGACCTCCCTGAATCAGAATCTCCTGTTTGCTCATTGTTTCTCCTTCTGCTCTTCAGGTTTTCATGTCTCCAAGTTACAGGAGAAGCACTGCTCACACAATTTTGGGTATTTAAAACTTTTCAACGTGAACTCCCTAAACACCTCCCCCAACAACAAACCTCTCCAGAATACAGACCAGAAGCAGCTTCTGTGATGTCAGTTCAAATTTCACATTGGGTCAGAGGCCTTCAGAGAATAAAATGGTTTTCTTTGGGTATTAAAAGAAAAAAAAAAAACATTGGAAAGAAG